CAGAGGCAGACAGAGAGGGGTCTTCCATCCACTGGTTTATTCCCCAGATGGCCACAACAGGTGGAGCTGTGCCGATTCAAAGCCAGGAGCCAGGAGCTTCTTCCAGGTCACCATGCGAGTGCAGGGGCCCAAGGATTTGGGCCTTCTTCTACTGCTTTCCCAGGCCATAGCAGAGAGCTGGACCGGAAGTGGAGCAGCTGGGTCTTGAACTGGTATCCATATGGGATGCCAGCATTGCAGGCAGCGGCTTTACCTGCTACGCCACAGCGCCAGCCCTAGTAATGTCCTCGTTTATGTTCAGCAAAACTTATGCCAGCATAACTATCTTGTCCATTAATACAGAATACAGATTCCTTTTGGTTGTTGTTTGCCCGGTGTGTCTTTCCCATTCTTTTAATTTTTCTGTAACTGGATGGTTCAGTGTGTCTTTTGTAAATAACATAGCTGAATTCTGAAAAATCCATTCTGACCATCGTTATTCCTTTAGGATTTAACCCGTTTACAATCATTGTAATTATGGTGTATTTTATGTCCTCTTCCATCTGTTTTGTTGCCTTTCGTACCCTGCCTCATTTTGTTGCTATTTCATTTTGTTTCCTTAACTGTCTCCTTTTGAATGAATTTTTTTCCTCATTATACCTTTCCTTTCTTTTGAAATTAACATATTTCTTTACATTCTTATTGTTACTAGGTTGTTATTTTCACATGCCACGTTGCTTATCAAAGTCCAAAGTTAACAAATACCTATACTTTCCCTTTCATCAACATAAGAACCTTAGAATATTTTAACTCGATTTCCCATTCCTGAATTATGTGCTGTTGTTTTCATGCATTTTAATAACACCTCCTGGAGTGGGTTGAGCTGCTGCCTGCAACACTGGCATCCCATCTGAGTGCCAGGTTCTAGTCCCAGCTACTCCTCATATCAGTTCAGCTCCCTGCTAATCTAATCTGCGTGGGAAAGCAGTGAATGATGGCCCAAGTGCTTGGGCCCCTGCCACCCACGTGGGAGACCCAGATGGAGTTCCAGGCTCCTGCCTTCTGCCTGGCCCAGCCCCAGCCATTGCAGCCATTTGGAGAGTGAATCATCAGATGGGAGACCTCTGTGTCTCTCTCTCTCTGTGTAACTATGCCTTTCAAATAAATAAAAAACCTTTAAAAACGATTTTTCTTTTTTAAAATCCCACAAGATACTATTGTTTTTGTTTTTATGTAGTCAATATTCGTTAATATAATCACATGTATTTGCTACTTTCTTCTTCATTCCTTCTTGTATCTCTGGCCTTTAATATGGCATCAGTTTCCTTCAACTTGAATTACATTATTTAAATGTCCATTGGTACCAGTCTCTTGGTGCTACTCTTTCAACTATTATTTGCCTCAAAATGTGTTTATTGTATCCTTGTTTTTGAATGAGAGTTTGCGGCACATTGAAGATACTTTCCGATTGTTTTCTGGCTGCCAACGCTGCTATCGGGTACCGGTGTCCTATGGAAGAGTTAGTGGTAAATACAGTTGTGGCCCCTTTACACTCATCTGTCCCTCCCCTGCCCCTCAGCACCATACCCCTAAGTTCTTTTTATCTTTGGTGTTCTACAAGTATGCTCTGGTGTATCTAAGCTTGTAGTCTTTTTTATTTCTCCTGTTTGGTATTTATTGGGGTTCTTTAATCTGAAGATCAATGTCTTTCATCGGTTTGAGGAAATTTATTTATTTTTTTTATTTTTTTGACAGGCAGAGTTAGAGAGAGAGAGAGAGAGAGAGAGAGAGAAAGGTCTTCCTTCTGTTGGTTCACCCCCCAAATGGCCGCTACGGCTGGCGCGCTGCATCGATCCAAAGCCAGGAGCCAGGTGCTTCCTCCTGGTCTCCCATGCAGGTGCAGGACCCAACCACTTGGGCCATCCTCCACTGCACTCCCGGGCCACAACAGAGAGCTGGACTGGAAGAGGGGCAATCGGGACAGAATCCGGCGCCCCGACCAGGACTAGAACCTGGTGTGCCGGTGCCGCAGGTGGAGGATTAGCCTAGTGAACTGCGGCACTGGCCAATTTGAGGAAATTATAATCCATTATTTATATGCATTTAATAGAAAACCAAAATAGTTGATCGTAAAAATTATCACAAAAAAGTAGTAAACTGGAAAAAATGGAAGAAAAGACATAATGAAGTTTTGAAAGCAGATATTAAGAAAATAAAATCAATTAAAAATGATCCAAAAGAATTTTAACTTGGCTTCTTGTAAAGAATAAAGGTAAATCCCTGGCAATAATAGAGGACAAGTAATATTAAAATAAAAAAGAGGAATACAAATACACTAGAATTTTGAAAGTCATAGTATGATAACTATATACCATATATTTTAAAACATGAAGTGAAAAATCTTCTAGAAAAAATCAAATTACCAAAAGTAACTCAAGAAAATAGCAAATATAGAGAAAACAATACCATTAGATAATTTGAATTGAGAATCAAAAATATCTTCCTATTTTTAATACACAGGGACATATGCACACATACACATGTACACACACATCAGAAGTAAATATCTTTCAGTTCCATTTTCCATGAACATTAATATTTATATTCAATTTAATATTCAAGACATATTTTATACTATAAAATAATTTGTTACTTATTTGAAATTAAAATTTAATTCTATCTGTTCCTTTTTGCTAAGACTGACCACCCTAGGAGCAAGGCATATTGCCACTCTGAAAAACACCAGGGCTCTAAAATTAGCAAGGAGCACAGGGCATGGCTGAATGGCAGGCAGTATTGATGACCACCACAGAAGCTTACATGCAAGTGTATCCAGAATACAAGGGTGTTTTTCCCCCGACATTAACTCTGGCAAAATTTAGCCTGCAGATTTTTCCAGAAGGGAAATTAGTGGCAAAATAGGCAGTGCTTTAGGATATAATTCTCTTAGAGACACGTCCCATAACACCCAAGGCTCCATAGAGCTGTATCAGGTTAATAAGGAAGTTCTAAGACACCATTAACTGTGGATTATCTGTATGAAATCACAAATCTGTGATCTGTATCCTACCAAACCCTACTAAAATTGGGCCGGCGCCGTGCTCACTTGGTCAATCCATATGGTCATCCCATATGGGCGCCGAGTTCTAGTCCCGGTTGCTCCTCTTCCAGTCCAGCTCCCTGCTGTGGCCCAGCAAGGCAGTGGAGGATGGCCCTAGAGCTTGGGCCCCTGCACCCACGTGGGAGACCAGGAAGAAGCCCCTGGCTCCTGGCTTTGGATTGGCGTAGCTCCAGCTGTAGCGGCCGTTTGAGGGGTGAACCAACGGAAGGAAGACCTTTCTCTCTGTCTCTCTATCTTACTGTCTAACTATCTGTCAAATAAAAAAATTGTGCTAAAATCCTTTTTATGTTATGCCCACTTGAAAACTTGTCAGCTGCTATTTTATTTCAACAAAGGGATTTGGCCAAGACTATCTTGTCTGCAGGAACCTGAGGTTAAGCCGAAAGCGTACTAAGTCTTCCGACACGTGGACTCACGGGTCCTGCCGGTGACTCTGGATCCAAAGCAGCCTGGCACACCGTGTGCACTGACCCTGGGGGACAGCAACGTCCACAGTGGGCAACAGGGCAGGAGGGGGTAGAGGCCAAGGACAAGTCTCCAGGCGGAGACTTAAAACTGGGTCTTCATGCCCTGTGCCCCCTGGCCAGGGGAGGGTGGGAGACGACAAGCCACAGGCAGGTTTGCCATAAACAAAGAGCTGGTAAAATGGGGTTGATCAGGTGAACAGGCAAGTGCCCCTGTGGAGGTGAGTTTTGGTGGCTGAAGATGTTCCTTACAGTGCACTTGAAGCATCCTGAGACAACCAGGTCCTCAAGGTGAGGTTCTAGGTTGTGTGTCGATGCTCACCAATAGTGGGTTGTATTTGATCGATACCTATCAATTCTGTGGCTGAGAAACTATTGTCCACTGCGTGTGTGGCCCAGAGACATTCTCCAGAAGTTGTTGCTTATAGCTTTGGTCAGTTTCCATGCACTTGCCCAAGTCACTTCACTTCACTTTTTTTTTTTTTTTTTTTTTTTTTTTTGCCAGGCAGAGTTAGACAGAGAGGCAGAGAGAGAGTTATAGACAGTGAGAAAGAGACAGAGAGAAAGGTCTTCCTTCTGTTGGTTCACTCCCCTAAGGGCCACTACGGCTGGCGCTGTGCCAATCCGAAGCCAGGAGCTGGGTACTTCCTCCCAGTTTCCCATGTAGGTGCAGGGCCCAAGCACTTGGGCCATCCTCCACTGCACTCCTGGGCCACAGCAGAGAGCTGGACTGGAAGAGGAGCAACCGGGACAGAATCTGGCGCCCCGACCGGGACTAGAACCTGGGGTGCCGGCACCACAGGCAGAGGATTAGCCAAGTGAGCCGCGGTGCCGGGCGTCACTTCACTTTCGAGAGTCATCTTTCTGATGACCACACAATAGGCTACCCCCAGCCCTCTGTGTCTTCGCACTCCCCATCCTTGGATTCAACCAACCACAGATCAAAAATATGTGGAAAAAATTTATTTCTGTAATCGAACAGGCGGCAGGCTTTTGAGCATCTGTAGATTTTGGTATGTGGGGGCGTCCCCTGAAACCAGCGCCCCACAGTCGCCAAAGCATGGTTGTTGCAGTTCATCACGTGCACCTATACTAATTGCCTTTTACGTGAACTTGGGGATCTGGCTATTTAGAGAAAAGCACCTCCTAAGACAATAGTAACTCCCCAGTCTGCCTGCTTGTGGGAGCTGCCTTTTCAACTAGGCAGTTTGCAGAAGGCGGGAGCGCTGGGAGCTGTGGCCTTCCCACGCTTTCTGGCTTCTCTTCGGAAGTCAACAAACACTGAAGCTTTGTGTAATGGATGCAGGCAAGGGTGACAGTGAGCAGGCAGCGGGCAGCCGTGCCATCTGACTGTCAAGGTGCGAACCCCAAAGCATGCGTCCAAGGACTCAGCTGTGTTTCTGGAAGAGTTAACAGTGCACCCCCTCCATCCACAGCTCCCTTCGCCATACTTAAGAAGCCACCGAAGCCTCCCGTGGAAGTGAAAGTCCATCACAAGAAGCCGAGAGCGAAGGTACTGACACCTGTACCTGTGGAAAGGAGGTTGTTCTTACAACACCTGGACTTCTGGGAGCACCCACGTGCTACAGAGTTGTCCCCTTCACATGGAAACAAATGACACTATCAGTGGGGGGAGGGGGGACCCTGAGAAGTCCCATCGTGCTGGATTATTGTGAGACTCACTAAATGACCAGGTCAGTCCATGCCGTGAGCCGGTCAGATGTCCGGAGTCTGGGACACAGCAGCTGCTGCTTGTCATCTCCACCTGTGTTGTGTTGTGCCGGGCATCTTACTGGGGGGGTCCTGCTGGCTCCCACTTGCCCTCCAGCATCGGCTTGCGCAAAATACTTCCCTGAAGAAGGGAAGGGATTCTGCCTTCTCTCGCAGCACAGCGGCACTCAGCCTCGGGAGGGTTCCCCTGGCTCAAGGGGCTGGACTGTGGGAGCTCGTGTTCTTGCGCTTGTGGGCCACAGACTTGGATCACTGAGACTCTGCCCCCCAGGAAGGAGACAGCTGGCCGTGTCTTTGCCTGGCTTCCCCTGTGTGGTCAGGTTTTCAGCAGCTCTGCTAAGAACGAGAAATCAAAGAGTGACACAAGAGTGGATCTTCCTGCGTCCCTCCTTCCGGGCCTTCATTTTTTAACAGCCTCATCTGCTCAGAGGTTTGCACTGGTGGGCTCTTTCCCCTTAAGATATTTCCAGGCTGTTTAGGTAGCAGTATGTCATGTGACACCCCAGTTGCCATGGCAAATATTTGCGTTTCATGAAAAATGTGGGTTTAAAAAAAAAAAAACAAAATCGGTGTAAATGGCCAAATCCCGAGACAGGCCTCCAGGCAAGTATTTGGCCGGCACCATTACTGTTTCAATGCAGGTGTTTAACAGGCCGTGAGAGGGCCGTGGGCTCGTGTGCGTCCTGCAGCAGGCAGAGGCACCTGTTTTGATTCTCAGCCTGTTCGAGCACTCACGTCGCAGTTTGTAGAGCACAGATCGGCCGGTGAGACACACATCGTGCCGAGACGTTCCCCAGCAAGCGGGTCACCTGAACAAGGAAAAAAAGTGTGTTCTTGTAAATCATGGCGCGTTCCCTGAACACGACTCAGCTTTGGCTTTAATTAACAGAGTGTTAACTCAGAGCTTCCCCTGCTGCCAGAAGCGGCCACATTCACTCTCTTCTCCCGTGGCCCCAGATGGGCGCCACGTGTCTGAATTGCCTCTTGAGCAGGAGACGTTGTCGTTGAGGAAGTTTCTGGAAAGAGTTGTGGGTGCGGAGGTTAAAAGGCTGAGAGGCACAGCCGGAGGAGCCCCGAGGGAGGGGGCCAGGGGGCAGGGCAGCAGGTGCCGCCTGCAGAGGCTCCTTCTTCTCCCTGCTTCTCCACGTGTGCCCTGGAGATGGGAGCCGGCCGGCCTCTAGTTGGAATGGTTTGTGTAAATATTTACTTTGTCCAACTCTTTCCTCAAAGCAAACAGGGTTTGGCAAGCTGCCAGAGCTGTCTAAAGGGTGGGAAGATTTTTCTAATGATCAGCGCCTGCCTGCCTGGCCAGAGGGGGCAGGCTGGCCCACGGGGGAGGCAGGAAGCAGGGAAGGGGGTGGGGGGGCTCCGAAGCTTCTATTTGTTTTGTAAAATTGCCCATGAGAGTCGTTTTGATTTAAACTGTGCCTCGCTCTCCGTTGCAGGGGAAGGGCAGGAGGTCAAGAGGACAGCACACTCAGAAGGTCTGTAATTTGTGTGACTAGTTGAAATTTGGGGTCTGTCACCTGATGTCCCTTCCTTTTGCTGCAGGGCACTAGTGTGGGAGGCCGCTTGACAGCTGGAGATGGCCACAAAAGTTCTCTGGCGCTTCCTTTATAAAATAAATTAGATCTGTGTTTTCAGGGAAAAAAAAAAAAAGCCATGGTTCATTTAGAGACAAAAACCTTTCTCCGCCCTCTCTCGGGACAGAATTTCCTTCTCAGGCTTCTGTCCAAGCAGATGATTTAGCATCCTTAAAAGCTGGCCGGGCCTCATCAGTCTCCAATTAGAGAGCTCCATCATTTGAAACTACGCCTAAAAAAAGAAATAAAATGCAAAAATTAATTCAGCCGTGCCCCTCCGCATGTGTTTGCATGGTGCACACTTGTCTAGGTGCACATATACATGAGTGTGTGTGTGTGTGCGTGTGTGTGAGAGAGAGAGAGACAGAGGGAATGTGTGAATATTGTAGGAGGTGAAGGTATGGGCTTTAGAGTTAAGCTGGTCACAACAGCTAAGGTAACAAAAAAGTTGGCCCAACGAAATAGTCCCCAGAACCTGGCAAGTCTGTGCTGGCCTCGCACATTCGCCTGCACCATGCAAAGCTAATAACAGCCCTGCACTTGAAACAGGGATGTGCCAGGTCCTCCTCCTTGTTGCAGAGTAACTTTGAGCAGGTTCTCTGGACCTGTCTTTCCTCGTCTGATAGAAGGGGATGACACCTCCTTTCTCACGGGGATGCTACAAGGATCAGATGGGTTCATATGTGTGAAGGCATCTTGGAATATATGGCAGTTGTTACACTAACTCACTGGTCCATTAAAAAAAAAACAAAACTGATCCATGGGGCTGGTGCTGTGGCATAGCAGGTAAAGCACCGTCTGCAGCACCGGCATCCCATATGGACGCCGATTTAAGTCCATCCAGCTCCCTGCTAATGTGCCTGGGAAGGCAGTGGAGGAGGTCCTTAGGCCCCTGCACCAACGTGGGAGACCTGCAAGAGGCTCCTCACTCTTGGTTCCTGGCTTCCGATTGGCCCAGCTGGGTCATTGCAGCCATTTGAGGAGTGATATCTCTCTCTCTCTCGTTCTGCCTTTCAGATAAATAAGTAAATCTTTTAAAAAAGAAAAATATACCATCTAATGTTTTGATATATTGATTAATTTCTTTTTTTTAAGATTTAATTATTTATTTGAAAGTCAGAGTTACACAGAGAGGAGAGGCAGACAGAGAGAGAGGTCTTCCATCCGCTGGTTCACTCCCCAATTGGCCACAATGGCCAGAGCTGCGCCAATCGGAAGCCAGGAGCCAGGAGCCAGGAGCTTCTTCCGGGTCTCCCACATGGGTGCAGAGGCCCAAGGACTTGGGCCTCTTCTACTGCTTTCCCAGGCCACAGCAGAGAGCTGGATCGGAAGTGGAGCAGCCGGGACTAGAACTGGCGCCCATATGAGATGCCAGCGCTCCAGGCCAGGGTGTTAACCTGCTGTGTCACAGCGCCGGCCCGATACATTGATTAATTTCTAAAAGCATCTTCTAGGCCTTTTTCTTCTTTTTAAAATAGATTTATTTATTTATTTGAAAGGCAGAATGCAAGAGAGGGAAGAGTCAAAGAGGGAGGGAGGGAGGGAAGGAAGGAGAGATCTTCCATCTACTGGTTCACTCCCCAAATGGCCTCAACGGCAGGGGCTGGGCCAGGCCAGGTCTCCCAAGGACCCAAGGACTTGAGTCATCTTTTGCTGCTTTCTCAGGCACATTAGTAGAGAGCTGGTTCGGAAGCAGAACAGATGGGACTCGAACCAGCACTCTGAGAGGGGATGCTGGCGTCACACGCGGAGGCTTAACTCACTGAGCCGCAATGCCAGCTGCAGGCCTGCATTTTGGAGGGAAGTCAGTCACCCTTTTCCAGGAAAAGGGGCCACCTCTCAGACTCCTGATGTGTCTCAGATCGGCGATAGGATAGGGCTGCCTAGCGAGGATTTCATGAGGGTCCTCCAGAATCCAGACAGCTGGCTCCCAGATAAGCTGATCAGACAATTAGATCCTTCCCCCAGCTTCCCTCGACTTTTACTGTGAGGAAATGATGAGCTTGACTCTGCACCGCCAAAGTGGAACGTGATTTGGGAAGGCCAAGGCAGTACCTGGACTATTTATAGCTGCTCATGTCCGCCGAGCCTGCTCCGCTTTCGTGGCTCTGAGGACCTTCGGTTACTCACCCCCGGGGCCTGCACACTGTCCCTGCCTCATTGCCCCTGTATCCCCCCAGGTGGTGAAGGGGTGGGGACAGAGCTCTCCCCACACAGGGGCCAGCTTTGCAAACATCACTCCTCCTGCCAGCACTACTGTGGCAGCTGGCACGGTGTCCCAAGCTCTGTTCTAATGTTGGAGGTGGATCACCTCACGTCGTTTTCACAGCATCTCTGCATGTAGGTCCCACTCTTCCTCCCATCGTACCCTGGGAACTGGGTACAGAAAGGTCTAGTCATCCAACTGGTAAATGACAGAGCCACCAAGCAAAATGGGACCGTGTGACAGGCAGGTCCCCAAGGCATTGGGAATTTTTATAAGCCTTAATTATTTTATTTATGTATTTTTTTTTATTTTGACAGAGTTAGACAGAAAGAGAGGCAGAGAGACAGGTCTTTCTTCCATTGGTTCACCCCCCCAAATGGCCACTACGGCTGGAGCTATGCTGATCCAAAGCCAGGAGCCAGGTACTTCCTCCTGGTCTCCGATGCGGGTCCAGGTGCCCATGCACTTGGGCCATCTTCCTCTGCCCTCCTGGGCCACAGCAGAGAGCTGGACTGGAAGAGGAGCAACTGGGACTAGAACCTGGCGCCCATATGGGTTGCCAGCACCGCAGGTGGAGGATTAACCAGGTGAGCCGCGGTGCGGGCCCCGCCTTAATCATTTCTAATGGAACTCTTTCTCAACTTTGTCACACTGCCTGCCTCCTGTACTCTGTGTGTATTCAACAATGAGTTTCACACATGCAGCCCTCAGTTGCTGTGTCTTCTTTGTTTTCAGTATCAGTAGTTGTGACTTTTGCTGTCACATCTGCTTTTCGGTCTCCTAGATCCATGACCCAAATAAACACACTCAAGAAGGCAAACACGTTTGAGCCAGTCAAGCTCTCCCTAAGGATCCAAAGAATGAAACTGAACCAAATTGAGTTTGTGATAATTATTCCAAGAATTCGAGGAATCTTTATTTTCAGGAACCTACTACAAAAAGTTTGAAGTTTTGAGGCAAGAATTTGGCTCAGCAGCTAAGACACTGCCTTGGGCACCTGCGTCCCAGGTCAGAGTGCCCGGGTTTGCGTCCTGGCTCTGCTCCGAGTCCAGCTGCACACTAGCGCACCCCCTGGGAGGCAGCAGTGCCGGCTCAAGTACAGGGGTCCCTGCCACCCACATGGGAGACCCAGATTGTGTCCCTAGCTCCCTTTGGCAGGCATTGGGGAGTGAACCAGCAGATGGGAGATCTCTTTTTCTCTTTTTGTTCTCTGCCTTTCAAATACATTTTTAAAAACTAAGAAAACAAAAGGGTGGAACTTTAGTATTTGGGTTCCCTCCTTGAGACGGAACCTTTTTTTTTTTTTTTTTTTTGACAGGCAGAGTGGACAGTGAGAGAGAGAGACAGAGAGAAAGGTCTTCCTTTGCCATTGGTTCACCCTCCAATGGCTGCCACGGCTGGCGCGCTGCACACGGTGGCCGGCGCACCACGCTGATCCGATGGCAGGAGCCAGGTGCTTCTCCTGGTCTCCCATGGGGTGCAGGGCCCAAGCACTTGGGCCATCCTCCACTGCACTCCCTGGCCACAGCAGAGAGCTGGCCTGGAAGAGGTGCAACCGGGACAGAATCCGGCGCCCCGCCCGGGACAAGAACCCGGTGTGCTGGCGCCGCAAGGCGGAGGATTAGCCTAGTGAGCCACGGCGCCAGCCTGAGACGGAACCTCTTGACTCAAGCGTGTGGGACATTCTGGAATCTGCGTAGCCCGACTTCCCCTCCCCAGAGCTCCAAAATTCAGACTCCCAGGACCTCAGCACAGCTCTGTGTTGGAAACCCAGCTCACCTGGCTGCAAGCCCATCTACTCATTCGGTCATTCCTCCGTTCATTCATCCAGCTCACCCTTGTTGATCTTTTACTGCATGCCAAGCTGCGCTCTAGTCTCTGGGGACCCCAGCAGTGAGCAAAGCAAACTTAGTCCCTGTCTGTGATTCACAGTTGCTTAATGCAACATCAGAGGGGAAAAATAAGGCAGAATACACACGTAGGTGTAGCGACTGTAGCAAGGTGTGATGTTCGAACTCTGCAAAATGTATTCTTTTGTGACCCGTAATCAACAGACTTGCACCATGCAAATTTTTTTGTTTTTGTTTTTGTTTTTGTTTTTCACTCGGGAAGATCCAGGCACGAAGCTTGGCCTTGGTGGTGGTGGGGTCCTTTCTGACAGGTGCTCTCCGGTAGGTGACTGGGACAGACAACAATGTTGTGTCTTTGCTCAGAGACCTGGGAATCCAGGCTGTGTTTGAATCCCATCCTGCTGGTTCGCCTAATCCATCGTCACTGTCCCGAGTGGTCCTTAAGTGTGTCACATTCTCTCAGGGGCTGTTAGAAAGGTAGCAGAGAGGACGAAATTAAATCAAGGCAGCGCTGGAGTGAGAGGCGTTTCTAGGAGAGGGGATTCCACATTTGACTGAAAGCAACTCCGTCTGTTGAAAAAAATCGTCACGATTCTCTTCTGTTTGGTCCTCAACCAGAATTTGACCCAGTGGGTGTTAGGGTTCCACGAGGGAGCGTCGGAGGAGGCCATGCGTCTCCAAGGACATATTTCAGAGTTCAGGAGGACTCCTCTGAATGAGGACATCTTTCAAAGCAACGGCAGGAATGATTTCTAGAAAACTGCTGCTGGTCCGAGTGGCCTTTACCATCCATTCACTTCCTTTATGTGTCTCTGCGCAATGATTTTTCTATTTTTTTCTTAAAG